TGCGCCACCGACACGCGCAACGTGCAGTTCGTGTTCGACGCCGTCACCGACGTCATCATCAAGAACAACCTCAAGGAGTGCGGCCTCTACTGAGGGACCCCCGGGAACGCCCCGGGAATGCGCCGGGAATGCGCCGGGAATGTGCCGGGAACGGCCGCGGAGCCGCGGGAACGCCGGGAGGCTCCGGCACAACAACCTTCCTTCCTGGGGACCTCGTGTTGGAGGGGACGTGGATTTGGGGAATGGGGGGTTTGGGAGTGGGGGTGGAGATCAGGGAATGGGGGTGGAGCCTCCCGGCGTCGCTGGATGGAGAGATCTCCGTGGATTCCAGCGGGATTCCAGTGGGATTCCAAGCGGATTGCAGCCCAATTCCAGCCTGATTCCACTGAGATTCCAGCCCTGGGATTCCAGTGGGATACCAGCCTGATTCCAGTGGGAGTCCAGCCAGACTCCAGCCTGATTCCAGCCCTTGGATTCCAGCCCAATTCCAGCCTGATTCCAGTGGGATTCCAGTGAGATACCAGCCTGATTCCAGTGGGATTCCAGCCAGACTCCAGCCTGATTCCAGCCCTTGGATTCCAGCTGGATTCCAGCCCAATTCCAGCCTGATTCCAGTGGAATTCCAGCCTGATTCCAGCAGGATTCCAGTGGGATACCAGCCTGATTCCAGTGGGATTCCAGCCAGCTTCCAGCCCTTGGATTCCAGCAGGATTCCAGTAAGATTCCAAGCAGATTGCAGCCCAATTCCAGTCTTATTCCAGCTGAATTCCAGCCTCATTCCAGCCCTTGGCTCTGTAGCTCCCTCTTCCTTCGTTACCAGCCCCCGTTATTCCATTTTTAAGGTTATTTTGGGTGTTTTTATTCCAGGCAGGAAACTGTCCCTTCCCTCCCCTTTGTTCCTCTCAGCCTCGGGTTCAAAATAATTAAAATAATAAAAAAAAAAAAAGAGAATAATAAAAACCACACAACTCTCACTCAACTGTGCACGTGGAGATCCTGCGGGACGCGTCCCTCCCGGCAGGAATTCCAGGAGTTCCTGTTCCTGCAGCTCCTGAAGGATCCCGGGAGCTTTTCCCCATGTGACTCATTCCCGTCCCCCTCCCCCGGGCTGGGAGAGGCTCCTGGGGCAGGAGGAGGAGGGTTGGGCTCCAGGGGGGG